ATATATATATACCGATATGCCGTCAGGATCGTGCGTGCACAAAACTGTCTATATTTTTTACCTTTTGGTGTGTCCGCAATGCTGGCCGTAAATGAGTTGGTCTGGAGACTCCGGCAACTTCACGCTCCAAAGGTGGGGAACTGAGTCTGAGTTCAATCCTTTGACCTGGATAAATCTTGTGTTCCTGGACAAAGTTGAAGTGATTCGTAAAGCATCGGGCGGGCGGACACCTTCTTAATGTTGATGAAACATTACCATATGAGATAAAGCATGCCTAAAAAACACATGATGTCAAAAGAGTTCCCTATAGATCTCAAAGTCATGTCATTCTTGGACATATATTTACTATTTTGGCTGACTTGACAGTCCCTCCAAGCGACGTCCAAAATCCAAGATCTTGGTCATGATCATCCTCCTTCTGATCTGGTCCTACGACATCAAGCAGGAGAGAGCAACACTTGGGAAAGCACTCGGTAGGACCATCAAGCTGTATATAGATAAGACATCTGATGGCAAGTGGCTGTAGAACTTACACATGAGCAGTGGCAGGGTACTGAGACATATACACTATTATTAAACTATACAATTCCGGCCAGGATTTCCAGTGGCTGGAGTTCTATGCAGGTGTTGGGAAGCTCACTGAGGTGATGCAGTGTGCAGAGTATAAGTCAGCCCGCTTCGATCTTCTGGACAATGATCAGCCTGAGGGTAGAAAGTCTAATTTCATGGATCTTACTCATTCATCAGGGTATGCGTTCCTTGAAAGCACTTTGTGAGAATTGCCAGCAGTGCATTTGGTTATTGTGTGCATTCAACCCAGTCCAAAAAGTAGAACCGAGGCTAGCTTTGCTATTCCTACTCCGGTCAGATCCCAATGGCTTTGCTAGCCACTTTGGAATCAAGTGTTCGAGCTTTTCCAAAATGAATGTAGGCACTTCTCAACGTTCAGCTTGTGGGCCAATCGGCCATGTTGCCTACAAGTCTGTTGCTGTGGCGAACAAGCTCTTGGAGAGGAAGGGTCTGGGAAGCTGAGCGAATGATAACAGTCATTGCAATGCCAAAACCCAAGCGTCAAGTAGCAGTAGATCGAGACAACATTATTTGGGGGGGTGGATAGTGCAAGCTTGCTTTTCTCCATGGACGGCTTCAACGCAGAAAGTATTTTCTCTTATCGTTATACTGTCGATTCTTGGAGGACATGTGGAATGGTGCTTCTGGTGACAGCTTTGGGTGGAGCCTGGTCACTGGAACAACCTAGTGGGTCGTTGTTGGAGTATTACCCTCTTTGGAGGGAGATGCTCCAGCATATATTTGAATCCGGAAATGAGTATACAGTCAGGTCCCTACTTGAGCAAGAAGGTGGAATGACATCTTAAAACAAAAGCTGGCAGAAACCTTTTTTCAGCTAGTATACTCATACAAAAGGATTGTGATGTGTCTCCATGGCTCAGGTCCAAGTGGTGAGGTGGTGGATGGCCCACTATTCCGCACGCACAGCAAAACGACACTATTGTTATGCCAACACACCGTCTATCCTTCGTATTGACAAAGGCAAGTTGACTGGATGGAAGAACAAAGTGAAGAGTGCTGATCGATACATAGATGGTTCAGGAAAAAAGAGATACAAAGGTAATGCGAACCTCCGTGCAACAGAGAACCTCATTTGAACACTTTGAACATTTTGATTGAGTTTGCACGGGTTTGGATTTGATCACCATCTTGAGAATCGGGGGGGGCCACTCTCTCTCTCTCTGTCCGCCCAGGATTTATCCTGTACCATTTGCCCGCGCCATGGTGGACATCGTCGAAGACATGAAGAACACGGCGGGCGGACAGCCTCGATTGCCACCGGAGGGAAAGTTGCCGTCAGCGTTTCAAACCTTTACCGCTCCTGGGTGGCCAGAATCTGACCTATGGTGTTCTGCTGATTTTGTTCCCGTGTACAACTACTTGAGGAAATTCAAGAAGTTGGTTGTACCTGATGAGTGGTTGCCCTTGATGCCCAAGAAACTGTCTGACTCGGATGGGGTATGATATGTTGTCAAACTTGTTCACTCAGGTGATCTGTTTTTCATCCGCTGATAAGAAAAACTCGGGTTTGGGAATCAGAGCTGTTGCCTTGAAGTTAACATATGTCAACCCGTATCAACTCTTGTCAGGTTTTTGTTCAAAAAAATACGGGTGTGCTCCGGAACCCGTACCCAACCCGTACCACACCCGTAACTTACCCGTACATCCCCGTAACTTTCAACTTCATACCTCGGGTTTCCTCCAAAACATCGGGTTTTCCAAACCCGTACCCAACCCGTACCGCACCCGTAATTTACCCGTACATCCCCGTAATATTATTATGGGTATGGACCCCCCCCCAGAGAGGCTTTTTTGGGCAACCTAATTACATTTCCAGGCGTGGTTGTGTGAGACAATTGCCTCACTGCGCTGGCCAGAGTTGAATTAACATGAGTGGCTCAGGCCATTTATGACCGGCATCCTGAACAGACATTAAAACAATGTCGCTTTAGCCTTTTCTTCGAATGAGTTGATTGCTTTATTTTCTTCTGATTTCAATTGTTGCTGTGGCATTAGCTCACACGTGATGGTTTGTCTTAGCCCGTTACGGCTCTTTCACTCGGTAATTTTCGTTGGGCTTCAAAACATGTCGGTGTCAACTCTACTTGGGAGTTGCGCGACGCTTCAAGAGGGCATTGCTCACGTGGATTTGGCCACCGAAGAAGCTGCCCTTCTCCGCGAGTTGCAGGATAGCATGTTGCTTTTGAACTAATATTAAATATACGCTCGACCAGGAACCCACCCATAGAAGTGTCAAATTTATCAGCGCAGGACATTGACTTTGACTTGTTGTACGCCCCTGACTCGCAGGCTATTCTCTTAGATCTTGGAACTGAGGATTTGTCACACCTTTGCTTTGGGAAAGCATACAATGCATGAACAACATGTCCCATGAACAACAACAGAACGTTTAAACTACAATACTTGGGACACTCCGAACGTGATAGCAACTGCCAAGGTGCCAATTGCCGCTCATGAAGACGAAACCATCCCAGCCAAAGCCTAAGCTGCGTTGGACTTTCAATCCTTTATAGTCAACTTTTTGTTTACGGTTGGGCGAATAGTGAGCAAAAGATAACTGCTTCAAAGGCCACACCTGAAGAGTTGAAACAGAATGCCGCTTTGTGGAACGCCTTCATCTCAGCATATATGAAATATATATCGTCTGGTTTCTTTGGGGTGCAGCAGGTTCCGTTTGCAAGGGTTCCCAAGTCTTGAGGCTGGAGATGATGGGGGAAAGACTTTGCCGGAGGTAGCGCCTATTGCACCAATTCCTACTCCCTCACGAGCTAAAAGGGGTGCTGGTGAGATCGCTAACCCACCAGAGGTTATTCCTGAGGTGCCTTTTGGTGATCAGGAACCGGATGCCAAGAAAGGCAAAGTGGATGCGCCTATGAGGTCTCTGGAGGGACCTGTCAAACAATCGGGGGATGCTCTGGAGGTGAAACCACAAGCTGCAGCCCCACTAGAAAACGCAGAACAGCTGGAGACACGTAAGGCCAGGTTTGGGGTACCATTGATCGAGTGGTGGATGTATATCAAATATAACTGCATGCTTATACTTTTATACCGTTCACCCACTATATTTGTCTGCGTACATGACGTGTCTGAATGCAGGAGAAACTTCGAAGAGCTGCCAAGGCGCGAATCATGCGCTGGGTGAGGCCACACCAAAAGCGCGCGAAGTTGGACGCTCCTGAGATCTTGAAGAGCGAGTGGGAGAGCGGAGACCGTAATCAGATTGCCGACATGTTTTCCTTTTGCAACTTCGAGAAGGACACCACACCCTTGCTTGCTCCAACTGCAATGAAACACAACTCACAGAGTTTACTTCCATCAACATACAGTGAATGCGTGCGCCAACCATCAAAACGCTGAACCATTCGTGCATGTATATAACTTGTAGCAGACCCATCAAACCTGATGTTCATATTAATTTTTGGTTTATATTGGATTTGTAATAAATGAATCGTGTTAACCAACGTTTGTTACAAGCAGAAGTTCCAGGAAACTTTCATCAATAAGATCACGGTCGCAGTTTCCCGCAAGAAGACTTTCAAGCTCACAGTGGACGAGGGTTGGTATTCGGAGCAGGAGCTTAAGGACTTGGGGTGGTCTTCGTGCGGCCCTTACACATGGAATGCTTGAGTGAGCTCGTGCGGATGTGCAAAACACCAAACACATGAGATCGATCGTTTCTAGCCATCTATAATGTTTTCTTCTCGAAGGTTTTTGCTTCATCTGCAATCTCAGGGCACGCATTGAGGGAGCCAAAGCGTACTGCAAATCCCTCGGCCCCAGTCACTACAGGAGTTAATTGCTGTGTCCATGAAATGGCGATAAAAATGCATATAGGCACCATAAGTGGCACCATAAATACTAAACATCAGTGTGCGTGTCCATAGATCAGAAAACACACTGCGTAGGAGGAACCGTTATGATGGACAAGAAGAATTCTATGTTGTGGTGAGAGAAACCGGTCAACGTGAAGAGAGTCTATCTTATGAAGAGCTCCACAAGCGGGAGAAGCAGGCTTTCTACATTTATAAACATGCCAATCACACCATGTTCTATACATGCATGTCGTCCCCGCTTGTGTCAACCCTCTGAGTTGTCACAGCCAGGCGGAATCGGATCCTACTTGCTCGCTTGGATCTGATTTTACTGGTTTGACAGCGATGGAGAACCGTCAGTCTGTGGAGGGTGAACACAAAGGGGACACTCCACCTCTGCATTCCAAGTATGCGCAGGCGTGCTTTCCATGTGGATGCATGTAGAAGTCTGTTATGCATGTGTTCATTGTTCATGCACACGCCTTACTTCCACCATCTTCCACCTGTATATGATCAATTCCTTTTTCCAAGCCTGACCAATATAATGTTTTGTTACCCTGCAAGTCGAAAGATGCATTGCGCAAAGTCTTGGACTCCATGATGAGCAAATCCGGGAAGCTACGATCGTTGATCAGAGAGATTGAGAGCAAGTACAAATCTGATCAACAATCCTCGAAGTTTGCTGGTTCCAAGTGGGCTTTCTTTTGGATTTCAGTCAAGAGTCGTTGTCTTGCGCCAACACGATTGCATTCAAATGTCTTGAACATCTCGGCCACCTAGGTATGTGGAGCTCCTCAAGGCTGAGATTGCTAACATCGACAAGGAGTATGACGCTTGCAGTGAAACATGGTGCAAAGGGGAGAGCGACGGCTTCTTCACTGAGGGGTGTCTAGCTTAGACATATGATTGTTGTTTGATACAAAATCTCAAAAGTATTGTGCAACAAATGCATTAAAATTGGTTATAGAAAGAAATACATCAAGTCGTGGATGAAAGGTTCTACAAGCAGTCGGAGGCTGCGATGAAGAAAGCCAGTGTTGCGTGCGGACCCCAACCCATGATTCCATGATGTGCTTATGCCAAGCTGCTGCAACCCGGCCACCATCTTGACTCGAGGTGTAGCAAGGCAGCTTCATCAGAGCTGAAAACGAGGACAACCTGTCCAAATCGAGCTGATGATTCTTTTCTTTTGCTTGCACCAGTGTTGCAAACCGAATCCCTGAACTCCATGAATGCATCGACGTTCAATTGTTTTATCTGTATATAATTTATTCACAAATTTCAGGACCAACAAGAAATTCTTCGCAAAGAAGGATGACGCACCTGATGAGTCGACTGGAGCGGATCGTAAGTCCAAGGATTCCAAGGGGAGTGCCAGAAGCCGAAAAAGAACAAGTCCAAGAAGGACAAATAGAGCTAGGGTTGAAGGATCGTATTTTCAATTGTCCTTTGTGGCTGAGCTGCATGAAAAGTGCACAAGCCACACTGTGGGCACAAACCATGGCATTCGCTTTGACTTCAAGTGTCCAACACTGTGTTTTCTATGAACTCGATCTACAACAATAAAAGGGAAACCACCTCAAGCCGCCTCAAAGCTTTAAGTTCCATTAATCCTGCAAAGCGAGCCGTAGAAGTTTGATGTGCCCCTATACTCTTTGTGGTTCTTACCACAAATTATGTCCATGCATCTTGCATCCCAATCAAATTCCGGTGGGACTTATTCGCGCAAAGGGGGAAAACCACCGCGGTACGCCGACAACGTGACACGTGGTCGTTGGGGTTGGATATATCCCTTGATTGTTCATTTTCTCCCATGCCAGGCGCTCGGCCTGGACAAGCTGCTCGTGGAATCTCCAGTCGCATCGGCGAAGGTGTCCGACGCTCAATCCTGGTTCGCGGACAATGCTTAAGTCGATCGGTAGTTTTGCAACCAGGTATGCTTTACCCAAAGCCTTTGCAGGATCAAGAAATTATATAGTGCGTCCTGCAGAGGCTTGTTTCATCTTTCCATGACAACTGAAAGCCCAGATGACGAGCTCTGGGACTTGTTTACATGCCATCGCTCAGAACCTTGCTTGCCTTGGGAACCTTTTTCATGTATGATCTTGTATCGAGGTCAGAGGTCGTTCAACTTCAATTTTTATCATCCACCCAAAACCTTATGTTAAAACATTGACCCATGTTTGAGCAACTTGTAAGGACGAGCTTCTTCCATTCCCATGGGCTCCAGGTGACCAGTCAATGCCAAAGGAACCGACATGGCAAACACCTAAGATGAATCTGGAGAAAACAACATGCAGTGCAAAGAAGCCGGTTGGAGAGGCGGCGGAACAAACAATGAACGCAGAACAGGAGTTGGAGAATGTGGGCAAGTATACAACTCAAGCACCATTGTTGGACAACTTATCTTCAATCGAGTTCAAGATCCCAAAAGCAGGGTTATCTGCCGGTGGCATCCTTCGGCATGCCAAAAGTGTCCTGGAGAGTTTGTTTGCCAAGCACTCCCCTATGATATGGAAGGTTGGTTATTCCCACAATGTTGCTTGGCGCTGGGGAAACACCCTCTACGGCTATCAACACGCTCCTGAGAAGTGGTCGAACATGATTGTGCTGTTTGAGACAAGCGAGCCCTATGGCCCTGCAATGTTGGAAGCGGCGCTAATTGATCTTTATCGAGGTTCCTGGCCACAACAATAACAAGAAACCTGTATATTAATATGTTTGGGTGTCTATAGATTCTGGATGTTCACTTTAGTGTTGCTGAGTGTATAATTGAAAATCATGTTTCTATCATTGTTTTTCTCCCAGGCTATCCTGGCTGCAAAAACATCAGAAATGGTGGCGACACTGTGAAACCATCTCTTACATCGGGCAATGAAGCTTTCAGCACGTACGTAGTGTACAGAAGTTTCAAATACCCACCTCCCATCCCACCACTTCGGCGCAAAGCTGTCGACTTGGTTTGATCGTGTCAGCAGGTGTGCATTCAAATAGAGCTTCATCGGGCAAACATGCACATGCACACATATAACATAATAAATGGTGTGCATGCACAAAGCTTTCTAGGTTGGCATGGATCGAAAACATATGAACAAAGAGTTAAGTGCACCTATCTTTATCTTAAAGCGCTGCAAAGTTTTGTTTTTGAATCGGGCTAAGGCCTCATGCGCGGCGGCTATCAGCACTGCGCGGGAAATAGTCGCTGATATTGGCGAAGCGGCTGCGTCCCGCTCTGGCGGGCTCCTAGAAATAGCCCGATGCCATGAAACCCATACTGAACGAGACACTCACAGAGTCCTTGTGAAGAAACTCCGCCTAGCTTTGGACATCAAAAGATCTAGATTGGCCACGACAGGCCCTGATGTCAGCATCCCTTTGTTGAGACTGAGAGACTGGTTTGCATTTCTTTTGAAGCACAACTGTTCCCACATGCTTGCCGGGCTTGTCCGGCCAGACAGTCGCAGGGAAAGCGCTATACTTTGCCGCTTCTGGGCCCTGTACAAAACATGGGACCCAGAACATGAAATTTTTGCAAAAGAAGCTCGGGGTGAGGTGAGCTTTAGCAGCTGCGTACCGCTGTGCTTTCATGGCGATGAGGGTAGATCTCGGAAACACAGTCCGTTCATGATCCTCAGCTTCTATTCAATGCTTGGGCGTGGTCTATGCGTTGAAAAACGGCAAAGGAGAAATGCAACTTTGAAGCGCTACTTGAAGTTGAAACCAAACTTCAAAGGCCACAGCTACTCGTCCAGGTTCATGTTTGCAGCATTGAGGAAACGGGACTATACGGGCGCGAACGAGCATGTTTGGGAATCAGTGCTTGAGGCTGCCGCAGAAGAAAGTTCATTTCTTTGCAACACTGGTGTCCAGGATGCTTCAGGCAAAACATACTCGGGCGTACTCCTGGCCATAGTCGGTGACTGGCCTTTCTTGCATAAGAGTGGCTCATTCAAAAGGAGCTTCAACAATATACAGAAGCGGATAAATCAAAGGTCTGAGCCGGTAGGCATATGCCACCTATGCCGTGCAGGTCAACGAGATGTCGAGTTCGAACAGATTGCAACTCGAAGACCCAAATGGGTCGAAACCCTTCATGAGGAAGACCCATTTGAAATCCCCAGCCCGTTCATCAACGTCGCGCACAGTCCAGGGAAGCTGGCGGCCCTTTGGTGCTACGACGTTTTCCATACATGGCATCTTGGTGTAGCCAAGAACTTCTTGGGCTCGGTCCTGGCATTGATGTCAGAACAGTTTCCACAAGGAAACATAGAGCAACGCTTCGAAGCTTTGACAGACATGTATCGTGCTTGGTGCAACCGCACCAAGCGCCGCTGCCACGTCTTCAAGATTACCAAGGAGCTTCTTCAGTGGACGTCGTTGCGAGAGTTTCCAACTGGCAGTTGGCACAAGGGCGCCCTTTCAACAGTGTTGATGGAATTTGTCGAATGGCGATTCCAACACGAGAGATTTGCCAATGAGCCACTCCTGGCACAGGCTGCAGAAGCTTGCTTTGCCATACAGAATGCCATACGAGGTATGTACATGGGTGATCTTTGGCTGAGCCCAGCTGAAAGTCTGCATGTGGCTGAGAACGGATTTCGGTTTCTGAGACGCTATGCAGCGTTGGCAGCACAGGCAGCAAGGCAAGGACGCAGTCATTTTGTTTTGCAACCAAAAATTCATATCATCCCGCACTGGATGGTCGCTTTGCACAAAGCCGGGACAAATGGCAAAGCTGCACTCAACCCAATTGGCATGAGCTGCCAACAGAATGAGGATTTCATTGGGCGCGGATCGCGTCTTAGTAGAAAAGTCACAGCGAGAGGTCCTGTCTTAGACAGAGTCTTAGATCGCTATTTGCAAGCTGCATACTCAAAGTGGGTAGCGTGTGGATATTTGGTGAGACCAGGGTGACAGCATCTCATGTAATCGCACCATATTGTATGCACATGTTGTGAGCTATATACTGTGCAATATTGTGTTTTGTTTTTTTCACATGTCACCCAGGCACTTTAAAGTCCAAGGCACGCATTGACCAGGATGCTGCAGCCACTGAAGGTGATTGCAATGGCCGCAGAGCAGAACAGAAACGTACAAAACGGAAACCGGGCAGACTCGTTTTTGAATACCTCGTGTTTGCGATCGAAACCTCGGGTTTCCATGCCCGCCCTTTATTTTTAAAGGTTATGGGCTGGGCAGGTATATACACACATATATCATACATCTATTTTCATAATTATACATATATAGATATCCAAAGCTCACAATATCAAATCAAACATATATTTATGTATGCTTAAGTTGAATCTGGCAATCTGGCATCAAAAAAACCTTTTCAACCCAACGCACATTCGATCCCATGTGGCTTGTGGTACTTCAAGCGTTCCAACCAAATCGACCTAGCACGACCAAACATCAATGGTGGTTCCATGGTGGTTTTCCGCAGCATCTACACACGTGCATATATTTGTTGGATCCTTCAACAACAACCTGAAGTCGCCCACCCACATCATCTATCATAGAAGGTAGTTGAATGTAGTTGATCAATATTCTTTCATGATGGAGCGACAGTTCTTCGCAAAAAAGTCTTTTGCGGACTCATCGCGAAGCATGGTCCTAAAACCATGTTGGTTAACCTGAGATGGAACTATAAAGTTGTATCACAACATAGGGGCTGACATCTTGCAGCATGACCCCAGCACAAGGCTGAGAGTTGCCACAGCTGATCAGGGTCACTTGCAGCGTGTACGACATCTGTGCGACAAACAGTATCCTATAGTCCTGGAGGAGGCGTCAGGCACAACGCAAACCAATCCTCGTGCCAGCTTTCACTGGTGATTTCCCTGGGATAACATGTGCAAACATCTGGACAGCCCGTCAGAGATGCGGGTCGTGGCCTCACTGTCAGGGCTGTGCAAGGACAAGTTAAGTTGTCAGGTTGCTAGTCCGAGAGTGGGGACTGGAATGGGAGAATCCTTTACACGCTGCGAGGGTGGGCAAGGAAACATTGAGGCGTCAGTTCTTTAGTCTGTGACAGTGGGGACATGTGGGGACACTTCCTCCCACCGGCTGTGCCAGAGGATTGCCTTGTATTTCTACCACTTGATAACATATGAATGCGAAGACCTTTGATGAATCTTTCGCGGAAAAAAAACACAGATACTTTCCAGAACCTCATCGCGAATCTATCGGGGATGGTCTTAACACCATCTGAAAGGCTGTTGCATATCAAACTCCTTACACAAGGGTTTTAGATCAACTCCCATATATTCTGGCTTAGTTGCGTTCACTGTATTGGAGTGTTTGGATCCTCAGATCGGGCCATGAATACCTTTAAGTCTTTGTTATCTTGTTCAGTCTTGAAGCTGATTTCCCTTACGTGTCAATGAATTCGCTCATGCCCTCAACACCTATGTTTTAACATCAGGGATCGACCTCAGCGCTGCATTCCAGGCACTGAAGGTGGTAGGTGCCAAGCTCCGTCTGAAGCTTGGAGGTCTTGTTCGCCTCCGTCGCAGAGCTGGCAAAGCTGGAGCATTCAAACACAACTGGTTGACACAGCACTGGCACTCGATGTATGTGTGTGTGTGTGTGTTAAATGCAATTGGCAATTGGAGCTTGATGCGAGGTGCCCCCCCATCTCTGGGACAATGATTCCTGGCGGACACTCTTCCTCCCATGCCAGTGGGGAGGCGCAGCAGCGTGCCTTGTGCCTTTCATCATCCCCTAGACACCTCCTTCCAAGATCCCATGGGTACTTGGAGCCACTCGACGTTCACCCGCAAACACAAACGCCTCAAACGCACTCGAAGTTGGCCACGGGCTCACTCTCACGAATCGGACACGAAACGACCACGTGGTCAAACGACCACGTTCTGCCTTTATGGCAAAATCACCTGGCAATAACTAGTACATCTTAGTACTTACCGGCCACATATGAGGTCATCTATATATCTATATAATATCTATATATAATTTATATATATATATATATATGCCAGCAGAGGTTGAAGAACCCCATAGACTATCCTATATAGACTATCCTATAGGTGCCCCAGTAGGGTCCTAGTTCAGGTCACTTAACCTCTGGTATGTTGTATGAAGCGACTGTACCCGGCAAGCACGAGGACCTCGTTCTCCACTTTCGCCCTGGCGGTGCCGCCTGGGAGATCCAAGAGGTTCCGCCCACCTGTGGTGAGGCGCAAGGCATGTGCATGGGGTGTGGCACAAGCACAGGTGTTTATTCCCTGTTGATATAGCTATATATATGTAAATAACATAGTATACAGTATACATATATCATCTACTGCAGCACTCCCAACCTGCGCAGGGCTTGCGTTTTGCAGAGAACCCGTTCCAGCTCAGAACAGAAAGCTCGAAGCTCTGTGACCGTTGAGTCTGAGAGAGGACGACAGTATTAGAAAGTCATGAATCTGAAGCCAGGAATTGGTAAGTGGGTGTCCATTATGAAAATGTGTTTGGAGATCCAACATGACACGTGGATCGTTGAACCTGACGTTGGCATATTTGAACATATATTGGAAAAAAACACCATTCAGATTGTTCTAAGCGCCAGTGTTGCAGTAGAACAAGACACGTGTTCTAAGTTCATTGGGTTTAGCAGGTTTCAAACCAACACATAGAACATGGCACCCACACATAGAACATCATAGAACAAGCAATGAACAGAACATGTAAAATAACAATACATGAGAAGCCATTAAAATCTTAGCGGCTCAACATTCATCTATAATATGCTAAAAACCTTGAACTAAATAATTAGCACAGGGCTTGGAAAATGAAGCTGGAACTCCTTTATGTTTGTGTGTTTTCTTTTCAGTGTTTAGAGTATTCCAAGTAGAGTGTGCCTGGCACACGTTAACTTGCACGTCATGTAAATGACAAACATTTGAGGACTTTAAGCTTTCAAGTGTTTGGAATCTAACTCAGCTTTGAAGCGTTTGCTACTCCGATGAAGAGTGTGTTACCCATCCTGAATGTTGCACGTTTGCTGGTGTTTGCTCTAAAGTTACCAGCGATGTTCGACGTGTTTCGGGCTTTGGAGACCTGCAAGTATCAAGTGTGGGCTTTAGAATCAACAGAATCATGCTGGCATGGCGTAGAACGAGGTCGCCACTTTGATGGCCAATTCGGAAGCAAGGACTGGATGCAAGGAAAGGGAAATAGCTGGGAACGGTGGAATATTGACCACGTACAAATAGTTTCAACTAGAAACAGCTTGACAGCTAGTTTGATGGTTACAGCCGAAATATACGGTAGAAGCTATATTAAAGAGTTTTTACTATTTGAGCTGCCAACACTCAAGCTGCAAAAGTCCCCCTTCATGACACCACAGCACGGTAGATTGAATAAGGGGCACCCGCCTTGTTCCTCCGGTCGACGATGAGGAAGTTGGTGAAGTCACGTTGCAGGAGATAAAGACCCTGGCCCGGCAGTCGGCTCAAAGATAGCCATTCACATGCTCTGGTAAAGGACAGCACGGACAGAAACGCAAAAAGCATGTGATTTCATGTGATTTCATGCTTTGAGTCGCATCCATTTGGCTTTTAAAGCAACAGTGTGGGGCCGAGCTTAAAGTCACCATTCCTGGACGATAAAACCTTTGGAGTCAAACACAGTACCCTCCGAACGGGCACAATCACCAACACATTCCCCCCACATTCGAAGGACTGTCATTTGCTGGAGCACTTGAGACTTCAGCTACCATTTTAGCCTCAGCCAGCCATTTTGATGGATTGAGCAGACTTGGAAGATTTGCCTGATAGCCTATGCTCTACTGTTGATCCTGCACATGGAATAAGGACCACCCAGGTAGTTTCAGGTCGCGCATGATTTCGTCCGCGATGCTTCTCCCAACCCCCGCAAGCACATGCAACATGTCTGTTGTAAGTTGCGTATGGAAAAAGCTCCAAAAGGACTGTTCAAGGGACATTAATGAATGCTTACTGTAGATCTTCAGGATGTACTTCTTTACCATCACGGTTATAAAATTAGTTTGATATGGCTTGACCAAAACTGTTCCACCAAACCTCAAACCCCATATCATGTGTCATGTGCAGGACATATTTGATCATATTTGTCCTGTTCATGGTAGTCTGTAACACAAATTGCATCACATTGCAAGAAACCTTCAAAAAACGCGAGTAGAACTTCTGCTAACCCCATGTGGCTTGACAGGCAGCGCATGACATGAGTAGAACTTCTGTCCAAACAGTGCCGGTGAAACGTGTCTCAGGCCGATATGACCAGCACCAATGATCAGGAAGGGATTCGAGTACCTGCAGGTCTGCAAATACTGGCGAAACAAGGTGCTCCAAGATGCTCCTGCATCTGCAATGTTAAGACAAATGAACATATGTTCAAACCACAGGACGGCGGTTTTCTCACACTGCCTGGCGTAAACGGATTTTGCAAATCGACACCTCCTAAGTCCTACTTGCTGGGCTGCTCATCCGAAGGGAAACCAAAAGGCGCTTTGCTCCTTCCCCAAAACTATGTGAGTGACTGTCAGAATGTGTTGCAGAGTTGCAGGTCATCAGGATGAGGTGAGTGTCATGTCCTTCATGTTATGTATACTGTATATATATATATATGTTGTTTTTTTTTTGTGAGTCTGTTATCGTTTTGTACTGTTGTAAGCTACATATTTCTGTAAAATAGAATCAACATGCATTGAAAGAACCCATGGCTATGTGGATTGACTACCTGAAAAAATCTCAGTGGCTTAACGTTTTCAGCCAGTCAATTTGTCATGACTTTTTTGGGATGAACAAAGGAGGACCTGGCGGGAAGTGGGAAAACCTTTCCAGTCACCACTTGGATAATCAGTCTTCACACATCTCACACCGGGTATGGTGAACACAAAAATCGCTTGAGCCATGAGCTATCCATCA